TGTATATAGAAAGGAAAGTATAGGAAAGGAAATTGTATATAGAAAGGAAAGCTTTCTATAAATTGCATATAGAAAGGAAAGTATAAAGAAATAGACTGTTTTCAAACCAGGAAGCTAAACAATGAATTCATTTACTGACTGAACAGGGAAAGATAAACTAAGATTAAAGATGACTGGGCTCTGTTTTTTGTCATCGGCGACAGTTTTCAGTGTTGCGCTCCTTGATACTGTATACAAAGAGATAAGGAGGATTGGCTTGTCAAAGTGTGGGACTCAGAGCCTGTCTTTCTCCTTTGAAAATGAAACCCAGGATCTTTGTTGGTAAGAATGTCAAAGTTGGAAAGTGTGGTTTCAATAATTGGAGCCAGTCTTAAAACACAGCTCGTGTGCGAGTAGTGATCATTCATAAATTGTACAGATTGGCATCACTTTGTTCTTGCTGGACTCCCGGGAAACTCGTCATTCTATTTCTTCTTCCTGTCCCTTATTGTATGGTGCTTAGGAATTCAGACTCTGGTGTTAGACTGTCTGTGCTAGAATCCTGGCTTTGCCACATAAGTATGTGACATGTGACCATGACCTTGAGCAATTTTCTATGACCTAAATTCCTAACATGTAAAATCATCGTAGGAATTGCATTTGTGCTGTTGGGTTGCTGTGAGGATGGAATGAGTTAAAGATGTAAAGCAGCAGAAGAAAGAGACCCTGATATACAGAACGTCCTCACTGAGTGGTAACTTTTATTTTAACTCTCGAACTTGAACTGAACCCTCTCTGCCACTCACTGTTCGAGCTTGGCAGAGCATCCAAGGCCTGGCAGAGCTGTTAAACTTACTGTCTCTGCCTTCCAGTACATTTTTAGCAACACTGAATTAAATACAAGTGCTTCGGACAGCTCTGGACCAATTTGTAGTTGTGTGTATCTTTGACATTAGGCAACCTTGTCCAATCTTATGGTTTAATTACTATAAACATTCTGAAAATTCCCTAATGTGTTTTTCCATTTTGAACTCTGGACTGAAAATGTTCCCAAATGTTTTCATCTGGAAGGTCTCGGCAGCACCTCGAACGCAGTATTTCCAAAATAAAAGTCACAACTGGCACCACCACGACCATATAATACCTTTTTCATATATATATATATATATATATATATATATGTAATTTATTTTGAGATAGAGAGAGAGAGAGAGAGAGAGAGCAGAGTAGGGGCAGAGAGACATTGAGAATCTCTACACTGTCATCACAGAGCCCAATGTAGGGCTTGAACTGACAAACTGTGAGATCATGACCCGAGCCAAAGTCAGAAACTTAACCAACTGACCCACCCAAGCACCCTAATATCTTTTTCCAGTTCAGTAAATAACATGACCTAGTTGCTTATTCGAGATATTGCTTGCTTTGCACCTGCTATCTTGTCCTTGCTTCTCTGTTTATTTTGATGAGCCCTATGCTCTTCTGCATTTTCAACAATGCATATTTATTGGCTCCTTAAAGTCATCAGTAAAATATTCTGTATTTTCCCCATCCAAAATACAATTTGCTCTAAAGCTTCTTTCACTTAACTTCACATCTGTTTATCCTGTAGTAGTTTGAGTTGTGGGAATTCCTTTCTACATCCAGTTTCTTGTTCCTAATTTCCTTTCATGATTAATCAAAAATTAAGTATGTTTATTGTTTCCTTGAAACTACTAACATAGTTCATTCCAGGGTCAACAATGAACTACCAGTATTTAATATCAAGGGACAATTTTTCAGCCCCTTCTAAATTCGTCTTACCAGGAGGTGAGATTCCTGACTGTATCCTCCTTTTTGAAAAATACCCTGTCTTTGTTTTTCTGACTCTACACTCTACTAGTTGTCCCTATCTCTCTGTTTGCCTCCCTTCCTTCCTTCCTTCCTGCTTTCTTTCTTTCTTGCCTCCATTTCAGGCTTTTCTTTATTCTACTTACAGATGAATATTTCTCAAAGTGCTCTCCCAGGTCCTGTTCTCAGTCTGTAAAAATCCACAGTCTATCTCATTTATTCCTGTGTATTCTGTATTTATATATATGCTGACAAATCTTAAGTCTATATCTAAGACATACACAATTTCCTGAGTTTAAACCCACAGTCCCGTTGCACCTTCCATGTCTCTATTAGGATACCTCCTTCATGTTTCACATTCAACAGGTCCCAAATGAGGCTTGTCATCCCTTCTTGCCTTCTGTATTTGCTTGTTGCCCAATGTTTCCCATTACAGAGGAAGGTCCCATCACTTTCCTCCTTCTCTCCCCTCTTCCATAGCTCAAAGATAACTGAGTTTTGTCATTATACCAATTCAATATTTCTCAAACCTGTTTTTTTTTTCTTCTTTTTGTATCTGTATCTGCAAGTCAAGTTAGTCCTATCATCATCATCCTCTTATTTACGGCAAAATCTTCATCTTTGGAGTTTTACCTCTGGTCTTTCTCATACCCACTGATAATCTATACAGTATTCAAAGTGATCCTTCTTAACTGAAAATTTTAACATTGCAACTCCTTTCTTAAAACTTTCAGCTCCTGGGGCGCCTGGGTGGCTCAGTCGGTTAAGCGGCCAACTTCGGCTCAGGTCATGATCTCGCAGTCTGTGAGTTCGAGCCCCGTGTCAGGCTCTGTGCTGACAGCTCAGAGCCTGGAGCCTGTTTCAGATTCTGTGTCTCCCTCCCTCTGACCCTCCCCTGTTCATGCTCTGTCTCTCCCTGTCTCAAAAATAATAAAATGTTAAAAAAAATAAAAAAAAAACCTTTCAGCTCCTTTTTCCTTATCTTCAGGTTAAAAAAAATCATACTCACTGAATTGATTTGCAATTATTATTATTATTATTATTATTATTATTATTATTTTAAACTGAGGGGGTGCCTGGGTGGCTCAGTCATTTGTGTCTGACTCTTAATTTTGGCTCAAGTCATGATCTCATGCTTCATGAGCTCATGCCCTGGGTCAGGATCTTTGCTGACAGCATGGAGCCTGCTTGGGATTCTCTTTCTCCCTCTCTTGCTGCCCCTGCCCCACTCACACTCTCTGTCTCTCTCAAAATAAATAAATAAACATTAATAAAAAATAAACCAAGGAGTTCCCTACTCATTTATTACAACTTCATGTTGTAATATCCCCACCTAATATTATTCTATTCTATCCTGAAATGCTTTCACTTGTGTGAGCTCACCATTACTATCGCCGATCCAGGGAAGGCTCATTCCCACATGTTTTTGTCTGGTTTATGGCTGGTGGTCTTTCCACCTAACAGTTGCAGTGGATGGTTTTCCATGGATCTCTAGAAATGTCTGTCTCTGTACTAATTCTTACAATGAATCTTGAACTTTCCCTCACATAGCACAAAGCAAACTTTAATGTTAGTTCTGTTTAACCATTGGTTTTTACCCAGCAATTCTAAGAATGAGGAAGGGGCAAATCACCTGTGTTTCATGCTATCAATCTCCACTGCCAAGCCCAGGACGGGTATTTAGTAGTGACATAAGTATTGATAGGTTAATTAATAAATGACTACTTTATTTCCTACTGTCTGTCATCCACTTTTTTTTTTTTTTTAACTTGGTGACTTTACTGGCTAAACGACCCATTAAGAATATTATAAAGTAGAGATTCATTAAAACTTCTCTGGTCCTTCATTTTATTTTTTTTTTCAACGTTTATTTATTTTTTGGGACAGAGAGAGACAGAGCATGAATGGGGGAGGGGCAGAGAGAGAGGGAGACACAGAATCGGAAGCAGGCTCCAGGCTCTGAGCCATCAGCCCAGAGCCTGATGCGGGGCTCGAACTCATGGACCGCGAGATCGTGACCTGGCTGAAGTCGGACGCTTAACCGACTGCGCCAACCAGGAGCCCCATGGTCCTTCATTTTAATGGAACAGTTGTGGAATCCCTCAATAAAACATGATTTTAATTATTGTTAGGAGTTATATAATACTTATTAAGGTAGTGAGCCTTTGTTTACTTTTAGTGTACTAAGAGGTTTTAAAAATCATGAGTCAATTTTGAGCTTCATCAAATAGCTTCTCTAAAGTAATAACACGTAATGGTAAAAGTCTTCTGAATATTTACTAGTTGCATGATTTTGGGCAAGTGTCTTAATGGACTTGTGACTAAATTTCCTTACCTGTAAAACGGACATCATTATAATAATTAAAGTGAATCATACATGACATATGTTGATATTTAATATTTTATTGAAGAGGTAGCCCCAATAAAACCAAGGTGTAGAGCATGGTCATGAAAATGAGCGGGTAAAATTCAGTAGCATTGAAAGGAATTGAAGCTGAGTTGATCCAAGAAAGTAACACACATAGTTGGCAAAGGTGATGAGAATCCAGGATGTTTTCCTTGCTTGAGGGTGAGACTCTATTGTCACAATGTTTTTAATAGACAGTTTGACATTATCTGTGAAAAATAAAATGGGCCTAGCCTTAGTCCTGAGTTGGTAGAAATTAACTCCTTAGAAGGAACTATTTTGATACATTTCAAAGATATAACTTTAAGGCTACCGTTAGTAACATTATTTGAAATTTTGAAAAAAAGGGATAAAAATACGGGTTTGTTGAAAGCATTCTATATTGATGTAATGAATACTGTGCCACTGTGTAGAGCGATATGCTGTCATAAGGAAAGGTATCTAACACTATTTTATCAAATACAATAGCAATTTTGAGTCCATTATATTTTGCTATGATACTGATTTGCAAATAAATTACGTATTATAATGAAACTTGGCACTATGTCTTTCATCCCTGCTTTTACCAGGTGATGCTCAAAGTACAAAAATATCTGATCTTGTCACGCACCTACTTGTAATGCTGCATGACTTCTCCTTTTTAGGATAATGAAGTTAGTACTTGTCGCAATTTGTGTTTCACTGTGTGATCTGGCTCCTTTCCAGGGCTCCAGACTCATTGCACAACGTATCTCCTGTTTCCGTCTACACTGCAACAACTCCAACTTTCTGTTCTTTCTCTACACGATGTGCCTCCTGCCTCAGCAGAGATCTAGGATCTCAATAGAGATCACCTATTCAACCCTTCAGATCTCAGGCAATTTTCCTTCTTCAAAAACTAAGTAAGTACGTATCTGTTCCTCACATTACATCAAATTCCCACACTAGACGCTTTCATAAATCACCGATCTCCCTATTATATTGTTATCAATACTGTCCCTTAACACAGCATGCTATCGCTTGATACACATCTGTCTGCTCCACTGGATTCTACATATCCTGAGTGGAAAATCTCTCCTTTAGCCTTCATCATTTTATCATCATTCCCTAAGACAGGATGAGGCACACACATAGTAGGGAAAAAAATTAACATATGGCTGACGATTGAGAGTTGTATTTATTTGATGATATATTTACCAGTTACGGAAGAGCGTTTTTCTACGGAGGATCAGTTAGTGGAGATTCTTACTTTTTTTCCTTTTTTCCTTTTACAGTATTGCACATTGTGACTGTATTTACAAAGAACATGAACTTACTCTTACCGTTAGAAAATAAAAATATCACAAAGATATTTTTCTGCAGGAAAGTCTTCGAGTCTGTAAGCTCCATGGATGTCAGGACTATTTCTGACTCTCTTAGGAATAGAATGTCTGTCAGAGATGTGTAGCTGGAATGAATGAACATGACACATTATGTCTTCCCTGTATATCCTGAAATATAGTATTTCAGCTGGACAATAAGGAGTTTTCTACCTGCGTTCCCTCAGCAAGTATAGCAGAAAGTGTAGCAGCTTCACCTCCAATACCTACAGTTACAGCAGTCCTTGTGGTAAAATTGAAATTAAAAGATCATAATATAAGCACATTTCATCTCTTGACTTAACAGTTGTCTATAGAATCCATTGATTCACTGTCGTTCTTTTCATGTCTGTATATGATACTATTTTCTCTGATTCTCACAGAGAGTAAGTAAAATGCATTAAAAATTTTCTGAATATGCCTTACAAAGTCGTATCTCAGAAGGATATAGTAAAGTAAATATTAGGAATTATGGTTGAGAGCAATTTAAAATTATTGGCATGCTATTGATCTGTAGATCAGGCCCTGTAAGTATTCATCCAGAATCTCAGTGGCTCGATGTAGTTCTCCTTAAATTAGCTTATTTGAACAGATAAACATTGGAAATGGAAAGAGAGGAGCACTGTGTCTTGTAGATACACCCCTGGGAAGCTTACAGCCTCATAGTAATGATTGAACAAAAGAAAGAAGATGTCAGAATTCAGAGTTTACAATTACTAAAGCACTAAAGCTAATTTTAAGGCATTTATGTTTGCAAGAAGGTCATCATTGCAGTCATTTTAAAACATCTACCCTTGAATAAGTTTAAATTACTAAAATCTCATTTACCACTAAGGAAACGTAAAAAGGTGGTTAAGCCCTGGCTCAAATTATCTTTCAATTGCTTAAATATTCCTGACTCATACTGATTCCTGATTTGTACTGATATAATGTTAAAGTCTGTGCGTGTGTGTGTGTGCATAAAATGACTGATGTACAATTCACATAATGAATTATTGTACAAGGTCTATAGGATGTCAAAAGCATTACTAAATGTCACAAGACAAGTGGAAAAGGGTGGGGCTCATTCAAGGGAAGATGCGTGGGTTTAGCGTTTAAAGAGAAAAATAGATCTTAGCGAATAAGGAAGACATAGTAAAGGGGGAAGTTTTGGAGTGATCTGGACACGCACAAACAGGAAGTGGACCGACCGAGTGCTGTTATGGTCTATAGATAGACCACCAGACAAAGAGTTTCAGGAGACACAGTAGAAAGGCTCAGGCAAAAATTAAAGAGCTCTGAATATATGGTTTTCTGAATGAGAATAAAACATAAAACTAGAGGCAGAGGGATAAAGAGGAAGATTACAAGTTAAGATAGGCTGTGAGCAAGGTGGAACGATCATACTCTCTGACCCCAGTGTCTCTCTGGAAGAAGCAGAGGTGTCTCTCTGGACAACCACTTTAATCTTGGTAAAATTATCATTTAGTTATTTGTAAAGGCAAATAACTATAATTTTTAATAATTCCTGATGTAAACTAAAGAGTGTGCATATTATAATACTTAATGGCATATATCCCCTCTTTTCTCTCTGATGTATCAGCCTTCCTTATGGACAGGTGTGGTGGTTCAAGAACTAGCATGCCACCTCAATACATCCTTGTTTTATTGAAGAGATACAGGAACATATGGCAGCAGCTATCACTTGTTAAAAATCTGTCAAGCAGCTATGATTTTTACAACTACGTCTTGGACAGAGAACACTGAAGACCATTTTGAGCATCACCGATTGGTGGCCAATTTATGGATGCAAAGACTTCCATGGAGAGTTGGTGCCTTGGGAGTATTTATCACTTAATTGGTCCTTTCATTCACCTTCTTGTCTATTTTAACACACATATGCACTCTTTATCTGTGTAACATGTCTCACCAGCTAGTTTTTTATGTACCTTCAAATGGCTATAAACTTCATTGATTTCATCCATCCTACTTGATTTACTTGTTCTTTATAACTGAAGTGAATATTCTTAAATGGCATGGTGAACCCACATCACAAGTAATATTATAAACTAAGAAGGAAGAATAGAAGTAGAGAATGAACTAGGATGGGTAGGATATTCTGAGATATACATATCCATATACTCATATGTTCCGAGTTTAGAGAGTTGATAGTTGATACAGTCCAGGGACTTGTGGATTTAGAGTGTCAGGAGGGTGTTTACTAAGAAGGCAAGGATAGCAAAGGTAAGAGACTTGACTTAACCTATCGGAGATCTGGGTTTATATAGCATATAAATGATCCTTGGGGCACCTGGGTAGCTCAGTTGGTTAAGCAACTGACTTTGGCTCAGGTCATGATCTCGCAGTTTGTGAGTTTGAGCCCCGTGTCGGGCTCTGTGCTGACAGCTCAGAGCCTGGAGCCTACTTCAGATTCTATGTCTCTCCCTCTCTCTACCCCTCCCCTGCTCACACTCTGTGTCTCTCAATAATAAATAAACATTTAAAAAATTATAAATAAATAAATAAATACATGATCCTGAAGTCCATTCCACATCCAGAAGTGATGGTAAGATTGTTGCATTTGGGGAAGAATGTTTTGAGCACAATCAAAAAGAGCATCCACGTGGAGAAATGGGAAAATGGTGGGGAGTATGGGATCCAATTTTGGGCACTAGTGTTTCCAGTGTAAATACACCCTCAGAATTGAATCACAAAGGATTGATTTTTTTAAGTGTCTGAAACAGCAGTATTTCTAGAATTATTAAAGCACAGTTCTACTTCTTAGGTTTTGCTGATCATCATCTGTCTTCAGAGTGAGTAAATTCTTGAGGTCTTTGGGTAATGCATGTGGCTTAAGTTAATGCTACAGCATTGAGCTTCCTGTTGGTATATCATACATGAAGGCTAAAGCAACTAATTTGAAAAATAAAATAAATGCAATCCAATTTCAATCTATTTTTTGTTTTATTTTAGAGAAAAAGAGAGACAGAAAGCATGAGATGTGGAGAGAGGCGGGGGGGGGGTGGGGCGGGGAGAGAAAGAGAATCTTAATCAGGCTCCACACTCAGCACGGAGCCTGACAACGGGCTCAATCCCACAACTCTGAGATCATAATCAAAACCAAGAGTTGGAGTTCAATTGACTGAGCTACCCAGGTGCCCCTCAAATTTCTATAAAAATTCATGAAGTGAGTCATATTTTTTTTCCTCTGAGTAAATCCTAATCATCTGCAATAACCTGAGCTTCTCTGAAAGCAGTGCCTTGAAATCTGAAGATGTCAACACAGAGCATAAAGACATAGAAACCAGGAATGGAACAAATCTCAAACAATGAAGAAAAGAATGCAGTCAGGAGGTAAAATGGAAGAGCTACCTCTGAAAGAAGGGATTGTACACCTCCTCTTTAATGAACTGCCTCTCATGATTCTTGAGGACAGGGAACCTGAAAAGCTGTTACACCAGGGGCCCTGTTCACCTCTGAAGATGCCCTCTAAACCATGGGAGTCTAATCTGTTGCAGTCTCCATGTGTTCTGTAAACCCCGAATTGCCACCTATTTGCCGTTACTTAGATATTTAAATTTCTCACCACTTAATAGTTTCTGTGTAGGTTTTGTATTAATAAAGTAATTCTTTAACAGAAAAAAAAGATCTGTATGCTGAAAACTATAGAAACCTTATGAAGAAAATTGAAGAAGACACGTAAAAAATGGGAAAACATTCCATGTTCATGGATTTGAAGAACAAATATTGTTAAAATGTCGATACTACCCAAAGGAATCTACACGTTCAATGTAATCCCTACCAAAATACCACCAGTATTCTTTGCAGAGCTAGAACAAATAATCCTAAAATTTGTATGGAACCACAAAAGAGCCTGAATATCCAAAGTAATGCTGAGAAAGGAAACCAAAACTGGAGGCATCACAATCTCAGAAGTTAACTTGTATCACAAAGCTGTAATCATCAAGACAGTATGGTAATGGCACAAAAACAGGCACATAGATCAATGGAATAGAATAGAGAACCCAGAAATGGACCCACAAATATACGG